GGAGACTGGAGGCTGAAACATACAAAGAACGGTTGCAGGAACTGGGCTTAGCTAGTCAAGTGAAGAAAAGGACCAGGGGAGACAGGATAGCAGTCTTCCAGTATTTGAGGGGCTGCCCCAGAGAGGAGGAAGAAGGGGTCAAGCTATTTTTCAACGCACCTGAAGGCCAGACAAGGAATAAAGGATGGAAACTGAACAAGGAGAGATTCAACCTAGAAATGAAGAGACATTTCCTGACAGTGAGAACAATCAACCAACGGAACAGAAGTTGCCCTCGGAAGTTGTGGGAGCGCCATCACTTAAGACCTTCAAGAAGAAGAAGAGATCGGTTCATATTTGTGACGGCTGTAGTGTTCCAAGATCATGTGATCACTTTTTGCGATTGTCTGACAAGCAAAATAATGGGGAAATCAGATTGACTTAACAACTGTGTCATTAATTTAACGACTGCAGTAATTCACTTAACCACTGTGGCAAAAAGGGTTGTAAAATGGGGCAAAATTCACCGAACCAATGTCTCCCTTAGCAATAGAAATGTTGGGCTCCCTTGTGATTGTAAGTCGAGGACTGTCTGTATTATAGGAATACGGCTGACATTAGCAGCAACGATGGTTCTTGCCACATGCAACTTTTTTGCACTGTTATTGTAAACAGCAGTTGGGCATTTATTTTCAGGCGCTCATCATTATTTAAGAGTTCATTTGTTTAATGCTGTAGTCAAGGTTTAATTCTGCATGTTTTATCTTTATTTTAAAAAAATGAGTAAACTATTAGGAGGAGAAAAAGTGTATCCTGTTCTCTAACGAAATTTAGATTAACCTTTTGAAAACAGAGTCTTACTGCATTACTGTAACCAAGCAATGAATGTACTTAACCATTAGGTCTAGGAGACTAGAGTACTTATGTCAATTAATTAAAAGAAAATGCATCTATTAACGATAGCATTTATTATCTGCCTTGCTGGCAGGCTCACTCGGAGCAGTGACGCAGAAGGAAATCGTTTGAATTCCCAAGTTACTACTGAGGTTGGAAGGGAATTGGGAGTTTATTTGGTTTAGTTTACGGCCCTCTGCAGTGGTGGGATTCAAAGATTTTTTACTACCGATTCTGCGGGCATGGCTTGGGTGGCGTGGCAGAGGAAGGTTATACTGTAACATCCCCATGCCCGCCCCATCCCACTAACCTGCTTTCCAGCTCCGTTCTCCTGTGCAGGGCAACCAAAGAAGACCCAGCTGATCAGCTGGGATTCGGGAGGCAAAGAATAGATGGGTTGGCAGGGCCAGTCAGAGATGGGATTTGCCGGTTCTCCAAACTACACAAAATTTCCGCTACCGGTTCTCCAGAACTGGTCAGAACCTGCTGAATACCACCTCTGATCTGCGTGTTTCAGACACTGGTTCACAAGGGCTTTAGGGCAGTGGTAGGATTCAAAACTTTTTACTACCAATTCTGTGGGTGTGGCTTAGCTTGGTGGGCTTGGCTTGGTGGGTGTGGCTTGGTGGGCATGGCTTGGTGGGCGTGGCAAGTGAAGGTTACTGCAAAATCCCCATACCCTCCCCACCCCACTAACCTGCTTTCCAGCTCCGTTCTCTTGTGCAGGGCAACCAAAGAAGACCCAGCCAATCAACTGGGACTCAATGGGAGGCGGAGAATAGATGGGGGCGGGGCCAGTCAGAGGTGGTATTTTCCGGTTCTCCGAACTACTCCAAATTTCCCCTACTGGTTCTCCAGAACTGGTCAGAACCAGCTGAATCCCACCTCTGGCTCTCTGCTAAAGAAGTCCCAACACTGGATTCATAGAGCCCACATCATCCCTTCCCTTCAAATACAGAACCAACCCGGGTCTGGGAAGGCAAGGAGGGAGGGAAGTGATGTCATATATGTCATGATGTTATCGAACTAATGACACCAATGAGGACATTGTGGAAACATACCATCCACACTATCGATATAAGGTTCTCATTAGGCATGTGACATCACCACAGCTGGTACCAAACCAGGGGTGCTCCTGGTGTTACAATCTTGGCCATTGGAAAAGTCAGCTGATTTATTTCTGTCTCAGTGGCAATATGCTCCAAAACTGATTTATTTTTTCTTTTGCGGGGGGGGCAGGGGGTCTCGAGATTTTCTGTCTTTCCCTTTGGAGAGAATCTTTCCTTTCCTTTCCTTTCTTTTTTTCCTTTCCTTTTCATCTCCTTCCTTCCTTCTCATTCTCATCTCCTTCCTTCC